ATTACTGAAATATAAAAAACTATAAAAAGATAGATTAATAAAAAAGGAAAGAGAATATCTAAAAATGTTCAAATAGAAAAGTTTTTATTTGAAGTCTGTTATAGAATGAAATATTGTTTTCAAAGTCAAACTTAAAGATTATTATTGTTTATGACAAGTTGATTGGATTTGACATTGATATTTAATTATAGTATGTATTATGTTACTTAAGTAAAAATGTATTTATGTTTTCAGTTAATTAATAAACTATAATCTAGCTTGATTGCAAGTATATAAAAAAAAATAATAATAAATTTATATAAAATAAAGATTAATTTTTTCTATTAATTCTTTTGATTATATACAAAAAAAAAGTTTAGTCAAAAGTTTTTTAAACTTTCTAACTAATAAAGTTTTACTATTATTTTTGAAACAACTTAAAATATATCTTTAAAAGTTATTATTATAAATTTTTTTTTAATTATAAACTTTTTTAATCAAAATTTAATTTTTGATAATTAAAAAAACATATGTAACATCTTTATTATCAATAATAAAAAAGTTTTTTTTAAAAAAAAAAATTTAATTGTAAAGTATTTGAAAACTTTTTTATTTTTTTAAAAAAATTTTTTAGAAGTTTATTATAGTAAAAATATTTATTTTTTTTTATTGATTGTTTTATTTTTTCAGAATTTTTACTTTGCTGATTTTTAAATTTTTTTTTTCTTATAGTTAATTCAGAATTTTTAAGTAGTATAATATTTATCAAAATAATTGATTAATATAAAATACATTAATATTTGAGATATACAATAAATAAACTTTTATTAAACATATTTATATATTTTGATAATATTATATATACTGTAATTAAAAAAATTTTTTAAAATTATATTTTTCTAATTAAGCAAGTTTCCTAGAAAACAATATCTATATCAAAAAATAAGTAATAAGTAATATAAATAATTGGCTTTTATTTTTATTAAGTTTCTTAAATAATAAAAAGGTTTACTGAATAAAAATTAATATTTATGTAATATAATATTGCTATCAGCAATTATAATAAGTATATTTATATATTGATAAAAAAATAAATTTCTTAAATATTTTTTTAAGGTCTTATTATTCAAAAATAATTAAAATTTTCAAATGTTATGAAATTAATAAATATTTCAATCAGGCAAATCCTTTTTGAGAGAAAGTTGCTGAATAGATTAAAAACTTTTTGAAGAAACCTTAAATTGATTTTTTTTTTTTTCTCTAATTATACTTTAACAATTTATGATATTTTTTGAGATAATTGATAGTAACAGACTATTAACAATGATTCTAGTAATTAGAGATCAAGTATCAAATTACTAGATAGGCACAATATTGTTTCTTAAATCTAACTTGAAACACTTGGTTGAAATTTAATTCAAATTAGCTTAGTAAACTTCTCATATTTTTTAAGTAGTGTAGTTCTTTAACTAATATATAATGATGAGTTAGTTAATCACCATGTGAAAGTATATAACTTATTAGATATTCAATTAATATCTTCAATAAAGATACACCATGACGGCATGATTGTGGATTAAAAAAAAAAAAAGTAAATTTATATGATATTTAACCAAATATATTATTTAAGTAAAACTGTTACGCTCATTATTATTTGGGAGACTGAATCTGAGGATAAACAAGATTTTCTAATATTCAATCATTTGAACGCGATAACATGCACGTTAGATAAATTGCAAAATGCATTCTTTAATGGTGTACAATAAATGCGTACATGTGTATTTACTAATAAGTAATATTCCAAATATCGATCTCGATTTTTAGAAACCGAAAAATTGTCTTTAAATGAATTTCAGGATCATCACAAGAATGAGAGAATATTGTGTGCAACCCTTTTCCTATATTATTTTCATCGAAGATTTTTTTCAGGTGATGTTTTTTACCTTTTTCTTTTTTTTTTTACCTTTTTTTTTTTTATCCTTCTCTGTAAATATGTGACTCGTGAAAGGCATTTTTTTAAATGATGCAAAAATTTTTTTGTTGCTCGAAGATATATATAGTGTATGTGTATGTGTAACATTTTTTTTTTTTTACCAGCCTACCCGCACGTCCTTGATTGATTTTGCAAGTGAGAAAAATATATATGCGTAAAAAAAAAAAAATTAGTATACAGTTATTATAAATAAAGGGTAAATTAAAATATTTGAATGAAGGGGGATATTTCAAAATCGTTGCAAAGAGTTTAGAAATATGTATATACAGAAAGTAGTTTATCACTGGCTTGCGGTATTTGATCTGCCGAAGATCGATCCATGACAAATTTTTGATTGCCTGCTCTTATGTCGGAGTCCGAAGCCTTTCGCGTCAATTTCGCAAAAGAGGATTCCACCTTTTTCTGAATTTGCAATTCTCTCTCTTTCTTCAGTCGTTCGGCTTCTTCCTGTAGCCAACATTTTGTTGACACTCTACACATCCGACATGATTCTCTCACGTGAAATTGCACGGCTATCGACTTGAATATTGTGTCTACAACCTCGGCACGGAGGAACAGCGAATGCTTTCCACCTTCGATCAACGTTAGTCTGCAATCCGGCATATTCTCTTCCATCCACTGCACCGCTGACACGGGGATTCGATCGTCCTTTGTTCCGTGGAATACGTGCACGGGGTGATCAATGTCAGCGTACGAAAACCCAAAAGGCCGTCGTCTCTCAAAACACATCATCAAGTCGTTATTTGCGCCCGTCAAATTTTCGGCAAAGGAGGCCTTGAGAATGGCGAGTCCTAGTTGTTGCTTCTTTTCGAAACTTGACATTTGCGCAGACAATGCACCGGAGGTTCGTTGTGAGGCAGGTTTTGTTGAGTATGGTTGACGACCGTGCATCATCTGTTGCAGTGATATGCCAGCCGAATTCGTGAATCTCATTATGGGCGTGGGAACAAACCGCAGCCATTTGAAATTATTTGCCACGGAGGTGCTCACCCAAGGGCACACGAGATAAATGGTGCCCTTGATCCTCTGGGGAATCCTTATCGCACAAGCGAGAGCGTACGGAGCACCAGCGCTATGAGCCATCAAGGAGAATTGCGGTATATCTAGTATATTACAAAGTTCGTCTATCACATCTGTGGAGCGTCGAATCGCTTTGTTAGTGATTGGTTTCCACCAGACACTTGACAGGAAACAAAAAAATCAATTACCTGGCCATTTTAGTACATCCTGTTCGTCTGTCTTCACGTCGTCCGAGAGTCCAATGCCCGGACGATCAGGACATATCAACCTCAGACCATAGCTCATCGCCAACTCATCGAAAAAAGCAATGAAATATCGTACGCAACCCATGCCCAGGAACACAAAGACCGGGAAGCCATTTCTGTCGCCGACCTCGGAAAAACTGACCACCCTACCCGAGCTCAGCCTCACACGTTGCGTCAAACGCGGGGCGGCCAGAAACGTGGTGATGTCCAAATGATTTTCGTCAACCGTTTGATCGGATGACAGAGAGGAGGTTGAAGGGGATTGAAAGGTGAGGGTGGTCGCTTTGCTTGAGGTCAGCGTGTGCGGAGAGGATTCGCAGGATGAAGGGTTTGACGATACGTCGGTGGTTATGGTAAGCGAGGGTGTGCTGGAGGAGGGGGTCACGGGAGCTGATTCGGCTACCGCAGATGACTTCTTTTTTTTGAAAAGAGAGGACGGCGAGTTGACGGAAACCGAACGCGACACAGGCGTGGACACCAATTTCTTTGCCGAAGATTTGTTCTCCGATGTATCCGCGGGTTTATTCGTGACCAGCGAGGTTGGGCGTGACTTTTTCTGTTCGATTGAAGGAGCATTCTCTGAGGCGGCGACATGAGTATCAAGCTTTGATCGTTTTGATAGGAAGAATTTGTTTTTTGAAAATTTTGTTTTCGGAGAGGTTGGAGGGGTTTTATTCTTTGCAGTTTTCAGAGGTTTCTGTTTCGTCTTGTCCAAGGAGACCGATAGGTTTCTAGCTTTGCCCGTGACTCCACCGCCTGGGGCAGAGTTGTTGGTGAAGTTCGCGGGAACCATGGAGGAAGGTGTACGTTCTGGATGTACGTTCATACTCTTGTTAGACTTCCTGGTTGGATGTGCGAGAAATGGATGGAATGGAAATGACGATGTATACTCGTTTCAGAAGGCGTGACACGAAGTGAATTTTTTATATTTTGATCAAGCTATTTTTTCGTCCGGGGGGGGGGAAGGGTGGTGGGAGAGAAGGAAAATTATTGCATACAGGATACAGATAAGTGCGGGGGATCACAAGAGGGGGAGTCGTTCGACCTGAGAGAGACGCGAGACCTCAATAAGTCGTTAACAGGGAATTGTACACTTACACTCTCCAAGAATCTAATGATTTTGGTCCTTCCGACCCAGCTTTATTCGCACGTAAGAAGGTTATCTATTATCTTGTACTGAGGGTTTTCGATTTTCTCTTTTACCTTTGTGCGGGAACGCATAAAATACATCAAAAAGTATAACGATTAATTATTATTATTATTTATTATACAAGACAAGAAAGAGTTTGCGCGTTTCCAAAAAAAAAGCGTTAGGATTTTGTAAGGAGGGAAGTAGGGTGAGAGGGAAAGAAGGAAATCACAGTACAAGGTATTAGTGGTGTTATTAATTAAAGGATTATAATAATGATTAGAAACAAAAGAAAAAAAAAAAAAAAAAAAAATATATAAATATATATATACTATGTATATATATATGATAAAATTAGAAGAAGAATAAGAAAGAAAAACGAAAAAGGTAAAGTGAGGGAAGAAGGTGAAGGAGAGTGTTACGTGCGTTGTAGAAAAATAAAGATATACCGTACATACGTATTATAGCTGAGATAATGTTTTGAACACTGCAGGCAGAATGTAACAGAAATGAACAAATACTATCAATAGTTTATTCGTAAATCCCGTCATTCAACTGGGATGTAATACTATTGATCTAATGCGCGATGTTTATAAGTTACATTGCAATTAATTACGTAGAAGCCCGCGTATCACGTAGCGAGCTGATGGAACCAGATGATTCGATAGTGAAGATGTTCATTGCACGATCCTCAATGAGGACCTCAATCGGACGATAATCGTTCTGAGATGTTTCTGAGCTGGCGATGAGAAATTTCCGGCGGTAGAATTGAATGGCCAAGAGAAGTGGAAGGGCGGCGAAATGAGGAGGGAAAAATCGCCGCACATTATGCACTTATCGAATATAAAAAAGGACGTAAACGCATTTTTGCTGGGTGGTTATAGGATATAATATAAATATTTGTTTCACCAATTTGAAAATTTACAATATGTAACAGTGAGAAGAACTCTGAGTGGTACTCTTTGCAAATAGGAACCAAGCAGGTGGGAATCTGGTAATTTCAATTACATATACGTATATCAATTAATATCAATTACGTGTAAAAGCAAATAAAGATAAGCAAAATGAACATTACCACCAGTTGTGAGCGCGAGAGCAAGTTTTGTGCGAGTGTTTATTGAAACCACGGGTACAAGGCTTATTTCCCTGCTGCTTATGTGTTTCCTATTTCGGTTTAACCGGCACATCAATCCGGTAGTGCAAACGTTGTTGGGTTTTAATCCTTTCATGAATAATTTGCTTACGTACTTTAGTTAAAAGATCAGAAATGGAAGTTAACGGCTGGCCTAGTCCAACATCTACACGGTCAGATGACAAATGCGTCCCACAAACGGCCAACACAACCAACATTATTTTAATATGAAACACATTGATACATGATTCTTTCTTTACATGCATAGCATGCGTTTGTCTTTGTTTTTTTTTTTTTTCTTTTGTTTTGGCAGATAAAGTTTTAAAGTTGAATCACAATATGTGCTCGAGAAAGGGTGTTTATCGTTAATCATACCATATAGAGACAGAATCGACTTAATCTCAATCCCGTTACGTGGAATTATTCTCTTCAGATTTCCGTGCAATTCCAGGATAATTCTCGCGGAGATATATCATTGGAAGGATATCATGAACGTAATTACGGTTCGGGTTAGCACGACACAATTAGCCCTCATGGTCACTTTGTGGGTTCTCCAATGGATGGAAATATGTGTTGGCGATTCTAATTCGGTTATACTCGCACAACTGCCCTCCCGCAAAAATTTGACCACTCATGAAATCAGGGGTTATTATGAATAAAATGCGCCGAGGCGATTTAAGAGAAGAACGACTGAAGAGGTTTCACGTCCTCAAATTGCTAAAAAAAAAAAACCGAGCGAGCATTTTGGTGATCAAATTACTTGGTAAAAATCAATAATCTTATTATAACCAAATTATAATAAAATTTTTATATGCTGCAATTACAAATATACTGTATATACTGTATATATCGGGCTACAGTTTAAAGAACATTTCAAATTTGACAACCATCGTCCTATTAGGTTTCTCGAGTTTCTCTATTTTCTTTGAGGTTTTGCAAAAATGACATCAACCATGCGTCTGTCTGGGCTTATTAAATCTGAGCTGCTCGTTCCTTTGTTCTGTTTCGCGTGAACGCTCGAATCACTGACAAAGGGTCGTGGAGCTCAATTATGGCCGTGCAACATAGAATTCATGGCGTCGGGATTTTTGTCTTTCCCGGATTTGGTTAGTCATCTGGCATTCGGTAAATGAATGATAGGTTCAGTGCATGTTTCTGTAGATATTTTATTTGTAAAAGTCGGAGGTTTCACATCATTGAATTGTCACCAATTGCCCAATGGCATTGTCAAAATTAAAAATGCGGCTTATCATATATAATGTGCACCAAATTAGAAAAGTTCAAGCCACTTGAAAAAATTCACACGGGAGTTTGTGTTTGAGAGAAATGGTTTGGTTTTTTAGAATAAATTAAATAATATATAAAAAAAAAAAAAAAATCGAAATTTTCAATATACTACTTTACAAATATAAAATTGAATGATTAGTTAGTTACATGTAACAATTATCATCTTTCTATAAGTAAATAAAAAAAAAACCCCCGACTTTTTTTTTTTTTGGAAGGAAAAAAAAATTAAGCAAGCATTTAATATTATACAGCTAATAAGACTTCAAACATCGTGAAACAATAATATCAAAGAAAAAGAAAAAACAATTGTTGTGTGATGTCTCGAAATTCAAGGTCCTTAACCCTTGGGTTTTGCCATGGTAGTATCGTATACCCTGATAAGATGGGCCTCCTGACCTGACTCGTTTTGCGAGAACGCAAAGCCACGATTCTTTCGCAATCGTTGTACCGCACGAACCTTTCGTACGGCTTTTTGAAATTGCTCCATGCGTGGACGATAGTCGGGAATGTTGAATTTTTGTATTTCCTGCACGATGTGGTAGCTTCGTGGGTAGTACATGCGTTTCATGCTGATTGGAACATCGATTTTAGTTAGATCCCATGGAAACGACAATCCATCATATGCACAGAAAGACCATGAGACTTACTATTTCCACGCGTAATCTCGCAACAGACAAACTATGGGAACGAGCAAAACCGTAAAATAAAATGCAGGACTTGTGAATAACTTTGGAACAATGCCGTAGTATTCCTCCGATATTTTGAATTTTGGGGCAAGGGTTCCATAGACGATGATGAAAAACATCCAGAAAATGAATGAGCCGGGAATGGCGATATAGGTATATTTCGTCCATAAACTAGGCGAACAGAAATTAAATAATTATACGTATATTTAGGAAAGATAAAAAAAAAAAGTGTCATGAGGTTGCAAGCTGGAATCATCAACCTACTCGGTTATTAACGCAGCTTTCCCGAGGACCGTCGCCAAGACTGCCGTGTACAGCGCCGTCCCCCAAAACCAATGTCCTGCCATTTGGCCGTCCGAGAGGACCAGATCATCTTTAAAAATGGAAATTGACGCCCCATACAAAACCTGATGCAATTGATTAAAGATTGATTAGCGCAGACGCAGGGTAATGAAAATGGCATCTCGGGAAACTTACCAACGAATGAAAGAAAGCGTTTATTGTCCATCCCCAAAAAGTTCTAACATTGAACTGGTTGATGAAGGAAGGAAAGGAAAAAAAAAAAATTATCACGTGTTAGCGCACATCATCAACTTGCGAGTGATTCGTTCCAACTTACGAATTCGCTTTTTTGACCCAGCATGTACATTTGCGGATACCGATCTAACATCCTCGCACTGATATACTGATCGAATATTCCTATGACCATGGGCGGTAACACCGTGAAGAGTACATTATAGTATGTGATCGTCCAAGACTCGTATATCACTTGACCGGAGAATCCATTGTGAAATGCATACTTATAACAAAATCAAAATTTAGTCAGAAGGTGACGCGATGAGGTTCTCCTTGCAATTAAAAACGTTCTTCATCAACCCACTCACCCAAAATTGCGTCATATATAATGTTATGTTTTTGTAGAACGAGTACAATATCAGTTTGCTTAATCTCTGGTAGCTCCACGCACCATGAACCAACAAAAGTTTTTTCAGGTATCGGAATTGACTGATGGCAACATCTGCGCTACGCGCCGCTTGCATCCCTTCCAATCCACTGATACCAACGCCGACATGTGCCGCCTGAATCATGGACACATCGTTGGCTCCATCACCGATGGCAAGAAGGATGGTCTTGAGGTGTCTCTTCACTAGTTTTACGACGAGCGCTTTCTGGAGAGGTGATACTCGACAACAGACTACGGCCTTGCACATGGTTGCCAATTCGAGGAAGGTCTTTTCGAGATCTTTCTCGAGGGCGAATTCAAGAGTGCGACCATCGATCACCAGAGCGAGAGGCTAGCAATTGACGATGACACATCGGTAAGGAATTATGCGAACCTGAAAGGGATCATCGGGATTTCAAATGAACTTACCTCGGCCTCAGGGTTAACGCGACCTTTCATCGCTTGAATCTTTTTCTCCATGAATTCCTTCGTCCCCCAATGACTTTCTTCGTTCACCGTAATCAAAGACATCTCCTCCTGGATAAGTTTACAGCTGAGACCAATATTTATGGCAGTTTCTTGTCGGTCGCCTGTGAGGACCCATATTTTTATCCCGGCCTGTTGAAGGGTGTGAATCGTTTCCGGAACGCCGTCCTGTAATTTGTCTTCGATGGCGGTTGCGCCCAGCAGGAAGAGATCTTTTTCAATCATCTCGGCTGCCTTGTCGAGCTCATCCTGTCGGTTGACCATGCTCGTCGAAGCTTTTTCATAGACGGACGCCCAAACTCGATATTCTTCTTCGGTAATTTCACGCATCGCAATGCAAAGAGTACGAAGGCCTTCGGTGGCGTAGTCCTCGAGATGTTGCAGCGTCTTCTCGATGTAAGGATTATTATCGCTCAATCGTTCCATGATCACCGTATCCGCCCCTTTGCAGTACAATTTGATCTTTCCGTCGGAACCGCGAACGATGGTCGACATACGCTTACGCGTGCTATTGAATTCGCATATGTTTAGAATTTCGTATTCGAGGTCGACGCCATTAACACGTATGTTGACGGATTTTGGACGACGCGTCTAAATGCAACGTGACCGTTGAGAAACCTTTTGGATTTTACGGTGAATTGACGACAAGCATTTACCGTGAACACATAATCCAGGGTGACTGCACCTTTTACGAGAGCGCCTTCGTCAGGAGACGAGGATTGATAGACGATGTCTAAAATGGAATGAGAAATTTTTTGATGAGCGATCGTATGTGCGATGTGCATATATCCCCGGACGGGTGATGACGTCAAAAACTTACTGGAAGGGTTATCTTCTGTGCGCTCTGGAATGACGGTATGACAAACGGACAATAGTGTCAGGAATTCGTTGATCACATTTTTGGTCGGATGATTCTTCAAGTTTAACTTCAATTGTTTGAAGTCATGCATTCCGACTTCTTCGCCGTCAACTATACGAGCTTTTTTGATCTCCTCGACGTGATCCGCATAGGCTATTCCCGCAATGGAGCATTGCCTGTATTCCATTTCGTTACAGGTGAGAGTACCGGTTTTATCGGAGAAGATGTACTCGATCTATCGAAAATTAAGGATGAGCACACATCACTGACAAACGAACCATGAAGAAATAAATACAGTTTGCAGTCGATGGAGGCAACCTGTCCCAATTCTTCAACTAGACTGCTGGTCCGACACAAGGCGGGGGTGTCGGTCTTTTCGTAATACATGTCCAGATCGGAATTGATCAACGACGCTTGTTGAAACTTCACCACTTCCATGGTGACAATCAGACTATTAAGGTCACAACAATATTTTCAGCACCGGGATGTGATCAATTCATGGGGAAATAAAAATTCGATGTCTACCTTATGGGGATCAAATTATTGAACAAGATCAAGAAGGTCAAAATGTTGAACCCGAACTGTCCAAGGATGCTGTTTGAGGCAAAGAGTTCCAGATAAGACAATTCGTTCCCGCCTTTCAACTATCAATGCGTTATACAGATATTAGAAATGGCCTTTTGCTTCTTCGTTTGAACGTACACACACGGTTCCCACCTACCGTCGTGATGGCGCTACCAATCGAACACGCAATACTCATTGCCAACAAGATACCAAACAAAAAGATTATTTGCACATTGACCATCTTCTCTACGCTAGTTCGTTTAATAGGAGTCGCGCTATGTTGACAATTCATGTGAGCCACGGAATCATCCTGCGAAATGAACCCCGCATCAAAGTAAACTTAGATCACTGACCTGGCATTTCTCATTAATTTTGTCTCGTGACCAGTGAATATCACGATGCCATAGATCCATTGGGAGTTCCTTAGTTGTGCACCCTAAAGCAAGATTCTAACTTCAGTCGAAATAATTCTTTTCAAATAAAAAAGAAAAGAACTTGAATCGAGATGCAAACGGGCACTCACCCTGAGTAATACTTGGGTGGGGTCTAGTGGGATTTTTCGAGTGCCGTTGGATGTGTTCATTATGAAGACACCGTCGAAAGTGTATAAACTGTTATTCGGACTTTCCGAATGTATTTGACCTAATCACAGATGAATGAATTAATACACTCGTTATTGATAGCTTCTCTATATGAAGTGATGAAGGAAGTGATGTATGAGAAGATTACCTCCCAGATTTGCGATCTGAGATGGTGACACTAGATGAGATGTTTCGCTCGCGGCTTGCTTGATCTTCAAATTCGTCTCACTGAAAATCATACATGATATGGTGATGTTAGCAAATGGTTGTGCAAAAGACATCTTCAGTTAGTCCGATGATCTTTCCAATTGTGCTCCAAGCTCCGTGCGCACAACAGACGCTTTGGCCCGATATCGGACAACATTGGGTTGAGAATACGTTTAGACAAACTAACCCGTCCAAGTTGCTCGTTTCTATGTAACACAATCCTTCGGGCTCGGAGCTGCTGAGCAATATTAGATCAGAGGGAAAGAATTCCCCGCTCTCAATACGAACAATGTCCCCTACTTTTACTTCGTTCCACTCCTTCTCAACGAAAACACGTCCTTCAAGGCATTTACATGTTCGTTTGTTAACCTCCGAATCCGAATTATGTCGTTTCTTGGTAATTATCGGTTAGAAAATCAATAGGAATGCACCAAAAGAAACGATGATCTTCTCGTGTTGAGACATTAAATCGGAGAACTCACCAGATCTTCCATAATTTCTTTGAATGCTGTAGCGGTCAACACCACGATCAAGGTACCCAACGTCGTGAACTGGTTCGTAGGCGATACCCCTTTGATTTGCTATTAGGTATTAAACGGGTATACATTTTTTCATTTAACACGCAACGCTTTAAAGTCGCCAATTGGATGAGCAAAAAATAACTCTCTATAAACCCTCATCTCCAAATATCATGATGGTGTCACATATCACTCTGCGATAGAATAGAGTTTTTTTTTTTTTTTTTTTTTTTTTTTTTTTCTTGAGAAAAAAATAAAGAATATCTACCTGAATGCAAGCTAGGGGGGAGTGATATTGGAAGAAAGAAAAATGAAATCAGAATTCGGGATTATTTTTCAATTTCAACTCTCTAAGATGCTTCCCGGTCGTATCACATTACCTGTGAATAAGAAGAACAAATTCGCATACTTTGAAAACTGTTCGTACAAGAATTTTGGCAAGAAAGTAAAAATGTTGTATTTAGCGGTAGAAATTCGGTTGTGTAGGAATTTCTGTTGAAGATTTCGTTGAGGTTCGTTAACATATATGATTCTTCCAACCCGGTTGGATGAGTCGCCACCTTCGGCTGGCGGCTCTTCAGATTTGATGGTATCTATCATTAAATTGTAAGGTTCACCGGCGTCCACGGACGGCACTGGCGAAGCGTTGGAGGTGAGTGGAAGAGCAGATTCGGACATATTGTAGGTCTGATTCATAAGACCGGTCAAATCGGAATACAATGGTTCCTGCTCTTCGTCCTCAACCGAATCGTTGTAATACGGGTTAAGTGAAGTATAGGTTAGAGACGGAGCTCGATTGTGGTCTCCAGAGGAAAAGTAAGCTGGCCTAAATGATGGTGGTGTCTGCAGATTTTGCAGCGAGACCGGCTGAAAGTTGTTTTGGTTTTCGACAGCTGAAGAGTCGTCGAACGGGTCGTTGAGGCGCGGTATGGGTTGTCGCGGAGGTGAGTTATTATGGGAAGTACCAGACATTGCATAATAATAATAATGATGTACAGCAAGAAACAAAGTTTATTTGATGATGTCACGGCTTAATTTATTATAATATGGATGTAACGTTTTTTTTCTCTCCAATTTGTCGATGACAACCAGATTTGTATGATCGTTTATATGTAATACTCGTTTTTTTTTTTTTTTTTTTATTTATTTATAGTAACTTATTGTCCATTGTGCCACGCAATCGATGTGTGACACATGATACATGTTGGAGTTCAGGGAAGGTTGTGCACCCAAAACAACAATTCCTGATACACGTTGATGAACGAACATTCCATAATACAGGTTTGCAACTTTGTTATTGAAAAGTTGACGGAAACACTCATCAATGATGATGGTAAGTAGGCACCCTATTTTACTCTATTTTATTTTATTTTATTTTTATTTTACAAAGATCCTGATGTGTACACGCTTTCCTCCATAATTGTCATAGAAATTTCCAGGTGTAATAAATCGTCGATCTATCTACTCCGCGAATGTCTGATGGATACATCGCACGATGAAATCTCGTTGACGAGGGCATCGTCTCTGGTGGACTACGCCGGAGAGAAAATCCACGCCTTCCCCTATAAGGATGTCCCCACCTCTTGGAGGCGGTTTTATACCGACGCCGCTTTGTTGAAAAGTGTGTGCGAAATTTTTCTGGCAATTGGCGCCAAAGATGACAACCTGTGGAAACAAGTCATCGGAACGTTGGACATGACTCTGATAATGACCGGCGCACCCGGAGATGGAAGAAGGGAGATGGTATTTAAGTTAATAGAAGAAACGGAAAAAATATTGAAGGGGCCCGATCACTGTTCAATAATTATCTCTTCGCCCAAACCAGTAATCTCTTTGAAACGTGCCATCGATAACGACGGCGATTCGTCTCAGGACTTGATCGACAAGAGTGACGCGAAACGGATAAAATCAGGTTCAACGGAAAATGACACCGACGCCCGTGCAATCCCAATTATAAGCAACCCGCTGCAAAAAGTGGCACAGCCCAGTTTGACCACCTTCAAGTCTCATGTGACCTCATTTGATCCAACACCCTTCATAATTACCTCCAGCATATCACATTGGCCTGCGCTTTCAACGAGACCTTGGAACACGAATTATCTTGTGAATACAATTGGGAAAGAGAGATTGGTTCCGGTGGAAATTGGAGCAAAGTATACAGATGAAAATTGGACCCAAAAGATAGTGAACTTTGGTGAATTTGTCGAAAGATGGATCAAGAATTCAGATTGTGAAAACGTTGCCTATCTTGCACAACACGACCTGTTCACCCAGGTCCCCCGTCTCCGAGATGATGTCGTGACCCCTGATTATTGCTTCGTGGACACCAATCCCTTGGTCATAAATCTCAGTCACGGAGATGATGATGAACATCCGAGAAACATCCGATACACTCCCCCGCAAGATGTAATCACGAACGCTTGGTTTGGTCCCAAAGGTACCATCTCGCCGATGCACACTGATCCTTATCACAATCTATTGGCGCAAGTGGTTGGCCGGAAATACATTCGATTATACTCGCCTAGCGAAACCTCCAAAGTGTACCCTTTCGAGAAAGATGGCTTCCTGAACAACACCAGTCAGGTTGGTTCTGCTTGTTTGGCGTTATGAGTCGTCTTTGTTTGATTGTAGATATATCAAAAAAAAAAAAAAAAAAAAATCTTTTTTGCGCATTTTGAAATTAAATCCGAATGTTAAAGGTTGAAGTTGAGAACCCTAATCTTGACCAGTTTCCATTATTCGCCACTGCACAGTACAAGGAATGTATTTTAGAACCCGGAGAATTGCTATACATTCCGGTAGGTCCTATTCCAATTTTTCTGCGGAGAACTTACTTTACTGGTTCCTCCATTTGCTGACCAATATTTTTTACTAAAGCCTGGTTGGTGGCATTATGCTCGCTCACTGAGTGTTAGTTTTAGCGTGAGTTTTTGGTTCTAAAGAGAGAGAGAGAAATAAAGGAGAGATGAAAGGAAAATTTTTTATCCTCCAAGGATAATCTTGGCATACTTCAAATAGCACGAATTGCAATAAATTCGAAGGAAACATTTTTCATTTGTTGTGACTTGGCTTTATTCTAAAAACCCTATTGCGAAACAGATAATTATATATGATAACTACATAAAAAGGAATTTTCGTAAGAAAGAAAAAAAAATATTGAATATAAAGAAAGTAATAATAATGTGACGAACGAAAGAAAGAAACTCAACCACAAACTGGTTGTTTGCTTTTTTTTTTTTTTTTCTTGAGAGAAAATTTTTTTCCAACAGACGATCCATTTAACGCTGTCTAATTATGAACAAACTTTACGAACGAATTTAATGGGCACTTAAAATGAGATGTTGAAAGAAGGTTGTTTTCCCTTGGTCCCAGAGGGACGTCTATTCTTTTGGTTGTCAGAAAAAATCTGATCGGAATAAAGTTTTCCCCTCCTAAATTAAAGAAGCAAGGAGGAAGAGATGAGAAAAAAATGTTCTGAAATAGGCGAGCAATAATTTCATTCAAACTTACGGTACAGCAGCGGTCGAGACCTGCGGCCTGTTGACTTTGTTTTTCACTCGATAAGAAGCAACACCGGTATTTATGTTGCCTCCGGGCTGTTTCAGTTGAACTTTGAGCACACGACCTAAAGAGAATGTACAATAACCACCATAAAAATTTTGTTAACGAGAAGGGAAGAAGGTCTAAATTGAAACAAAGTTTAATACCATCAACAAGAGCTGTGTTGTATTTGTTTATCGCAGCAAGAGCAGATGCTTTGCTTTCAAATGTTAACTCGGCTTTAGCGGGTGCCCCCTTGGCAAATCTATCTTCTTTCATGTCCACCGTCGAAATATCTCCAAATTCCATGAACGCGGTCTGAAAAAAATCGGAATATTAGATAACATTCAGACATCCTAGACAGGCAATATTCCAACTTACTTTAATGTCATTGGCACTCGTACCAGGTGCTAGGTTACTGATGATAATGGTGGCAGGGCCGCCCTCCCCTTTGAACGAAAATTCGGCTTGCTTACCACCAGCAACGCCCTTTATTGATAGCCTACCAGCAACCCCGCTACCAGAAGCAAGTTTGCCAGTACCCAGACGTTGTTGAATGGACAAACTTCCGTTAGCTTGACCGGGATTCCTTGTTTGACCGCCAGAAAGGAGTGTGGGAAAAAGATCGTGACGCCAAACGCCGTTAGGATTTCCTGGTTTAATGGTAGCTTTTGGTTTCTGAATAGGTGGAGGGAGGCAGGGTATCAGAACAGCCGCAGTTCGATTTGATCAGTCTCGCAAACGTGTTCCAAAATGTGAAAACCCCGGGGAAGTACGTAAAGATCTCAACAAATTGTTTGGCCGTTTTTCTTCAGCAATAATGGTTCTGACCATTTGTCGACCAAAAAAAAAAACGATCTACTAGTATTTCCCTGTGTTTCCTTAAGAAGCTGTTTGGACTCTTACCGGATATGGGTTGGCTTTTTGTCGAGTCAAGTTTTTCCCTGCGGATCTTGCGCGGATCGGTCCCGTTCTGTTTTTATTGTTATTTAAATTGCCATTGCTGGTATTTGCATTATTTCCGGTAGCGTTACCCTTGTTTCCCTGTTTAGGCTTCTTTTTATTGGTCTTGATGATTTCGTCAAGGCTCATGTCAATTCGGTCCATCGTTGAAGGCGGTAGTAAGCTAAAGTTCTTTATTATAAAACCGTGGAGTGAATTGGAAACATGGCACCACAAGAACCAAATGATTTACATACAGAAATTACTTATTTTTCATTGGTCAGATCTGTTCCGCCATGGCGGCAATGTTTCACAAAGGAATTAATTTCCGGTGCTATCGATAGATTATGTGAAATCCTCGACGTTGCATTAATCTGAGCGGACCGGAATCATGTTTTACCGCATAAATTTCTCTCAAAATTCCTCCCAAAACATTTATTTAAATAGGTTATGACGTAAATTCACTTTTCTAATGCGAATGACACGTAAAATATTATCGAATTACTATAATTTCCCTAATCTCTTCTTTAGTTCGATTACCATTTCATTGCGCTTCACAGAGATACCGCCACCTTCACCCTGTTCCTTAGACCTCATATCCTTGATCCTGACTTCACCGCGATTCAATTCATCTCGACCAATAATAACCGCAAAAGGGATTTGTTCGCGATCACATACCGAAAATTGATGTTGTAATTTCGGTTTGTTTTTGTACGTAAACTCGGCCTGGTGGGCAAAAATTAAGGGAGATAGATAGATAGTGAGTAACAGGGAATGTATACTCTGTTCCATCAACACGTATTCACACACCTTTATATCAGCGTCCCATAATTCGGCGCATATTTTCATCCGATCATCCAATAATCCGTCGGCGACGGCTATCACATAAACTTCAACTTCATTCGCTTTAACCTGTTCAAGCGCAGCCTTTTGCAACAAGATAGAGAAAACCCTTTCTACCCCAATGGAAACACCTACACAAGGTATGTTGCCTTTTTTACTACTAGCAAACATCCCAACCAGGTTATCATAACGACCACCAGCAGCAATCGAACCCACCCCGACTGTTGATTCATCGAGATCCTCTGAATCTTTCTTGGACTTTCGAGTAACTTGAATGCCATCCTCGAGTTCTAACAACAAAAATAATGAACATACGGTATCATGAGTTATTCAAATATCCAAAAAATCAGAAACTTTAGCTGATTTCTTACTCGGAGGTCCGGATTGTTCCGTGACGGCCTCATAAATGATTCCAGTATAATAATCCAATCCTCTAGCAAGACTAAGATCAAACGATATCTTTATGTTTGTTAAAGGGGAGTCGTACAAACATTACCACCCGAGAAACCTATGCGGTAATGGAAAAAAAAATCGCAAGTTACGTCGTTCATTAATTACCTTATCCAACACACCAAATATTTCCAAATATTTGAAAAGAAGTGCCATGTCGTCCAAACCGGACTTTGCACTTTTGTTCGCGGTTAATTCTTGATTTTGGAAGAGTTCCTCTAAGAGTTCTCGATCACCTGTGAATTTGTGAAGAAAATAAGGTCGTAATCCAACAGATTAACGTAATAAACTTTAAAATTTAATACCCTTTAATTTAACATATCCCCCTATGCGATCGGCAACATCGGGATCCAAACCCTTGTCCTCGGTCATCTCTCTCCTAACTTCCTCCCATGGCAACTGGTATTTTTTACTTGTCAGATATTTGGGCGAACAGTGCAATATACACGCACATTACATACTAACGACACCCACCTTATCTAATTTGTCGACAGCAGAGGAGATGGGCCTGATTCTCTCTTCGGGAACTCCGCACACTTGAAAAATCCCATCGAGAATTTTACGATGATTTATCTGGGAATAATAGCAAAATGAAGATTATCAATCATTATTACTGTTCGATTGAAAGGTAACGGACGAAAGAGATTTAGCCAAAAAAAATCCTTACCTTAACTGTATATTTACCAATATCAAGCGCGGTTAAGCATTCACACATAATCTTCACGACCTCCGAATCAGCGATCATTGGGTCAAAGACGCCCGCGACATCGAAATCCTATGGAGCCAATAAATCTGTTCAAAAATAAACTCTTGAAAACCTTTGTAATATGCATAACCTACACATTGATAAAATTCTCGCATGCGACCCTTGGTCATGGCAGGCTGATCTCTCCGATAAACCTTTGCAATCTGATATCTCTTTATATTTGGATATTGAGTTCCATTCATGGCCAAAAACCTTGCGAACGGAACCTAGAAATAATAAGATACACGCTTAGATCCATTTTCTGGAGAAATTCGACCACAAGATCCACAATTCTCTGATGACTCACAGTTAAATCATAACGTAATGAACATTTTTCACCCCCCTGATCTTCGAGATCGTAAATAAGTTTACTATCTTCACCATATTTTCCAGCAAGGATTTCTTTCAATTCGAAAACTGGTGTGTCGATCGTTACAGCGCCGTGTTTCTTGAAAACCGAGACAATCGTAGAAAATATTTTTTCGCGAATTGCCATCTCTTTTTCATTGTAATCGCGCGTGCCCTGTGGTTTTTTTAATAATGCGTCAGCCTAACAGTTCTCTCAATAAAATCCCTTCGAATTTTCCGGAAACGAAATCGCAATCAAACTCGAACGTCGGAATAACAAAAAGAGGAGTTCACCTTTGGTGTTTTCAGGGTAAACTTGTTCTTACCCTTGGTGTTACTTTCTTCACCGACGAGAGAGGCTTGTTGCTTTTGCAAATCCAAAAGAATGGCAATTTCTGCATCCACCACACTTTGTTCAGCATTTTTCGCCTTTAGCGTCCTAATTATTTCGCCTTGCTGCTTGATTTTAATTTTCAGGGATTCCGGTGTTATCTCCATTTTAATTTTGTTTTACTGAAGGAAAAAAAAAAAAGAAAAGAATGTAAAGGGTAAACAAATGATTTCTTCTCTAAACGAATGCTGCGGATCGAATATTTTGCCGGAAGTTTATCGTACAAAGTTGATCGCATTAATGACTCATAGTGAGCTTTAGATTCATTTTTATATTTTTTGTTTACAAAAAAAAGATGTTTGTTAAGAGTTCTTTGACTTTTTGGCTAATAAAATCTTATCATTATTCTTAAAACAACTTGAAGAATATCTTCAAGGGTTGCTTTTATGCCTTCCTTCTTGTTTATAAATTTCTTTGATCAAATTTTAACTTCAAATGATTAAAAAAAGTCAAGTAATACTTTTACTATCAATTGTAAGAAATTTTTTTTTAAAAAAAGAATCAACTGTAAAGTATCTGAAAATCTTATTTTTTTTTTTATAATATTCACAGTCAGAAAACCAAACCACTTTATTCCATGACAAACCCAATCCTTAATAATCGTCGTATATTTCTTTTCTTCTATTTCTTTAATATCCTCCAGGTTCGAATCCTCTGAAGATAATAACAGTTCTTTTTGGTCCTGTTCGGTCTGTTCGTCAGGTCTGAACTTGGGTCTCTTGTTTCTTTTATCCTCTTCTATAATATTTTGCTTCTTTTCCCATTCTATAACTTTGACACAACGAGTATTTTAGATCTCTTTTTTAAAGTTTGCTCTCATCTTTTGACAGAGTTTATTGATTATATCCTGTGTGTTTGCTAGTGGGATCTTGAGCTGCTCTTTGAGATACTTCTTCAAGAAGATGATCTTGCTTTCTTTCATATATCCATAGATGGTATTGAAAAGGTCCCTGTCAGATTTCTAAATCTCTTCTAACCATTTGTCTATCCAGTCATTTATTTTATGTTGAACTTCTTTCTTATCTTTTATTTCTTTATCGATAAGTTTCTTGAACTTTTCATTTGCCTTTTGCCATACATTCTTCCGAGTTTTTCTAGTGGCTGGGCATTCAAAGAGATGTCCTAGTGTCTCTTCTTAAAGTTCACATGCTGGGCAAGTGGTTGTAATATACACTTCTGATTTTCTCTTCTTAAATATCTGTAGAACTGGAAGTTCATTATGAGTTAAGTTAGTTAGGAAGCTTTTGTCTTTATTGGTTTT